TGGGGTAAAAATGGGAGTTCATAACCCACTTGAATCTAATGTATGAAATATTATATGTCAAGAGCTTTGTAATGTTTTGAACAACCAATAAAAAAATTAAAAACAAAAACAAATGGCAATCATGTAAAACAATCAATCTTGCTGATGCTTTTAAAAAAAATAAAAAATAAATTTTGCATTACATTTCATGGAAAGCGGTTTAAACCTTAGCCATATATGAGTAAAAGATTTTTTTTCATTTTAAGAGTTTTGTTTTTAAAATTAAGTACTACGAATATTCTAATTCTTTTGCTAATGGGCCTTAAAATTTACTTTAGCAAAGGGTAGGTGCTTCCTTCCAAATAGATGCTTTCAAGCCCTTTGGAATTCTTTCATAGAAACTGAAACCCCCTTACCTTTTTCATTTCAGATACAAGCTACACACAAGCAAAGAGACCTAGCTAATAAATCATGGGAAAATTTCCTGGCTAGAACATCAAATGCTAAAACACTAAAGGTAGGATTTTTAAGTTTTATGATGTATACAACAAATAACCAACTCTTAAGAACAGAATTTTTTCAGAAGTGAATAGTCCTTTACTTTTTCCTGGTTACCTTTCTATAGAATACCAACACTTATTAGGTGCTTGTATGCATTTTAGCTTGAAACTGCCTTTTCACAGCTACAGGTGATGCTACTCTGAGTTTCATTTGGTTTAGCAGGGGGAATTAAGGGTAGTGTTCTTGGCCTTTGTAAAACCACTGATAGACAGGAATGAGCTGAAGAAATGTGCTCTACTTTCCATTCTGAACCTTATTCAATTATTTCTTTTCCGTAAAAAGTTGAGTGAAGAACAGAAAAAGTAACTGTTCTGATTTACCCTCTTCACAAAGAGCTTTTCCCCTCTGTGATTACCAAAAGAAACATATTACAGTTTAAATGGGAATTGGAGATAAATATCCCTTTGGAAAAAAATATGATAAGCTACTTTAACTAGAAACCAATCTAGAAATTTTATACTGCTAATTGTTCTCTTGACATTTGTGAGACGCACCATGCATTTTTAAAATGTCTATATTTTTTCCTATATTTTTCATTAATATCTTTAATATACTTATATTTAGTGTCCTGGTTCTTCCTGTAGATATGAAATTGGTAAATATTTAGTTAATCCATGAAAATACAGGAAACAGTAAGATAGCAAAACATAAGTTAAAAATAAATTCTGAGTCCCAGGTTATTCCCCTTTCACTGAAAGTTCTTCCAAACTTTACTTGAAAATATCCTCAAAACTGCTTGTATTTTTAAGAAGAGTTAATGACAAGAAACTCCTTTCCTGTTGATTTTTCACCTATCAGTACCTCTAATATTGAGCTTGAATGTAACTGCAACAAATTATATAATTTATATTATTCTGAATATTTGAAATTATACTGAGTTATATTTATTCAAATAAATGTGCATAGCTTGATATAAATTTAGTAAGTTATAAATTGTACTATTTAATAATAGCTTATTATATCAAACTAAATCTTATTTCCTGAGGACATTTTTTTTTATTCCTTGGTTACATATGACCAGTACCTCTGGAAATAACCAGAGTGTTTTTTAGATGCATGGTGTTTTCTTCAATGCGCAAAGGATTCAACCCTCAGTAGTAACTGTCTTCTTGGTCTAAATGATCCCAGGGCCGCCTAATAAACATTCAAAGAGTTAAACAGAATTTAATGTACTTTGTGTCTTTATTATAACTACCATAGTTAATGCTTCAATAGCAATTAATAGCATTTTATTTCTAATTTTAAAATCTTCAGAAAGCAAAAAGGCTTCAGGAAAAGGCCATAGAATCCTCTAAATACAAAGGGCAACCACAAAACACAATACTTCATCGGACAGTTATTAAAGGCCTTAACACAACGGTAAGATTACTTTTCTCCACTTCTTTTGCTTAATAGATATTAAATTTAGGGTCCCAAAATGTTATTTCTATGGAATCTTTCTTTTTCTTTTTTTTTTTATCTTTTTTTTCTGCTGTTCAAATATTCACACCATTAAGGTACATTTCATTTATCTCCAAGTACTGGTTTAGAGCAGATCCAGCCCTCCTAGTTTCCTATGAAATTTCTACCAAAACTAGTCATTGTATATCTTTACATCTTTTTGACAGGCAATGTGCAGTACTTACTTAGCCTGACAAGTAAATTCATGTCATATGCCACTGTTCCTGGTGACCTCATTTGGACATAATCTGCCACCAATTACAAAGCTCATGAGCAACAGAAGAATTCAAACCCACTTTTCCCAGCTCCAAAGCCATTGTCTTTTCCACAATGTCATACTGCCTCCTAATTACTTATATTTACATTTTGTATCTTTTCCAAAGGATGACTGGGTTTTTCTTTTATTGAAAAGTTTATAAACAGACTCTAGATATTTACCTTTTGCTTTTTTTAGGTGCCCTCTGGTGGGGTAGTAACAGTGGAAAGCACTCCTGTCCGATTACTTGGAGGACCTCTGGCTGATACAGATTTAGCTCTTAAAAAGCTGCCTATTCGCGGAGGAGCATTGCAGAGGGTGAAAGCAATTAAAATTGGGAATGGGCAAAACAAGAGTATTCCTTCCTAACATACTTAAGAGTCTATGAAATAAATTCTGCTTCTAATTTTAGCTAAATATATCTTTATACACAAATGTAAAGCAACTATTTTAGAATAAATATTTTAGTATATTTATATGCTAAATAAATATTTTAATATAATTTATAGTATTTAGTAAAACACTCTATAAATAAAATAAGGCCATATAATTTATTTTTATTGAAAACATCAGCATAATATCAGAAAAGTTATCATCAATTTCTTTGGAAAGACTGCTAATTCTCTTAACTTAAATTGTAAACATAGCTTACTAGGACTCTTGCTTGCATGTGAACTACTCTAAATAGTTGAGCCAAAAAAAAATTTATGTAGGGTCTGTACCTATCAAATCTGGGAGTCATTTAGACTGCAAGCTTTTTTGGATCTAGGGACTGACAGTGTATTTGTAGCATTATCTTCTAGCAACTCCTGACTTACATTCTCTCAGGTTTGTATCCAGGGGAGAAGAATGTATGTCTGTTTCTCAGTAGTTTTCCACACTGCTTCTGCATTCTGGGACCTTTGATTTGTCACATGTCCACTCTTGAACAATTTACTATAAATTTGATCAGATCTGAGTACAGCCTATCGCAGAGCCAGAAGCAGGCAGATACCATCAACATATATGGATAGAGTAGAGAATTTAGGTACTGTTATCAGAAGTGTATAGAAATACTGGGCAGCAACAAATATGTTGGTCAGAGTAACACAAGTTTTATTTGTTATGAAAAGCAAATGTTAGTTGTGAATCAAACAGTGAAAATAAAAATAAAAATACATACGGTTTTACTCTTAATTTGTAAATATGCAAATCAAAGTCTAATAGTCCTCCTCTTCTGTATTGGAGAAGGAAAAGATAGAGGGGAGTGTGTTCCTTCCTTTGATGGTGGAGTTATCTTATAAATAAATAAGTGGTAGATACCATAATGGTGGGCATAGAGCCAAGTATCCATGTCCCTGAATGCAATTATGAGGTTTTCATCTCTTGTCTTAATCCCTATTAAACTACTCCTCCAGCCAAAAATCCACAAAGTTGAGTTCATGTATGGGACTAGGAGAGAGAAAAACCTGTTTTCTTAAGCAAGAAAGTAACTGGAATTTGAGTCTACATTCTTGGTACATATGACACTCGGCAGTGTAATGGTAAAGCTATGATGACTGGTTTTCCCTGGGGAAAAAGCCCTCTTTAGTAGTATTTGCCAACTTGCATGGTGTAAATACTCTTTTTTTCAAATATTTTTTGTGGTTGTATATGGACAGAATGCCTTTATTTTGTTTATTTATATGCATTGCTAAGTATTGAACTCAGTGCTTCACATATGCTAGGGAAGCACTCTGCCACTAAACTACAGCCCCAGCCCTGTAAATACTCTACTATAACCAGCCATGGTTGGTCAAGCTACTAACATGATGTTGTTGAATGCAGAATTGGGAAGAGATGCATACATTCCACTTACGTGATCACATAACAGCAGGTCCTATCACTGCAGTGGGCCTCTTTTTTACTCCTCCTTTTCCTTCTCGTATCTTCTCCTACCTCACATTCCTTTAGAATGTTTTTTTATTATCTTACCTGTGAGGGGAGATCATTATTGCCCTGGTAAGAATGAATTGCCAGTTTACCTTTGGCTGGTGGTCTCTCACCCTGTCCTAACTGTCCAGTTCCCTGTGGCCACAGGAGTAGATATAATCAGTGAGTTTTGTTCTCTCTAGAACCTTTTTTTTTCAATTATCATCACCCTTGAAAAGAGATAAGAATGCACAGAAATCCCTCAGAAAAAAAGATTCTATCTAAAGGAGAATTACTGAGATGCAAGAATGGATATGGATAGGGGCATGCATGAGGAGGAGCCACACAAAAAGCACTAGGCACAGCTTAGGCATGCCTCAGATATACCTAGAATCAAAGTGTCCATGAAGTGTCCATGTTAGAGAACAGTGAATCTCTTCCCCATTTTATAGACTATAAGTTCCTTCCCCCAGACTCTCTAAGTTCACCAAGGATAAGGTAGACACCATATTTCCTTTATTATTGTCATCAAAACCTCACCAATTAATTATTGGGTAAATGTAATGGTTGGCTTTACCTGGAACTCTGCAATTCAGTAAAGTTTTGAATTCAATCAGAAGATTTATCAGCTAACTGAATATTATATAAGTAATATTGAACACAGACAAAATGTAAAAATAGTTCAGATTTATTTATTTCATAATAGTGATTGACTTTCTTCAGAATTATGAAGCATACATACTGTGACATAAACATAATCAAGGTGTAGAAATTAAATCAATATGACTTGCTTGCATATAACTTTTTGTATATAGTACACCTGATATCTCCAGATTGATTAGGATTGTCATCAAGATAATCTTTGATATCTATGGACCTCTCCACTGCAACGTAGACTTTACCCTTTAGGTAGGGAGGAGGTAAAACAGGGCACATAATTATCTAGTAGCCAAACTGCTAAAGAAATATAGGTTGATAGAGAGCAGTAATATTTCTTAGTGCAGATATTCGTGCTTGATAAGCTTTCAGACTGAAACTTTTACCAATCAACTAAATTAAAAGAGAAACAAGAATAAAAATTATGGAATTCAGTGAACATGGATAAAATGGCTTCAAAAAACTCAGTAAAGAGGGAGTTCATTTCTTGGTTAAAATATAGTTAGTGCCTCCTGGTGAAAACCAGTAAGTAATAGGTGAATAACTTACATTCCTCTGGTCCTTGGTCTACCTCCTGGAGCACCAGAGTCCATTTTATATCACAGGAACCATCTCTGATATCTACTCCATGCCTTTTCAGATCTAATATACAGTTAATTTCATCATTTTCTAATTAAATTCTGATGATGCAGTTTCCAAACTTTATGAATGTTGCTAGTCCCATCTGAAGTGCTACAATTTGTTAATATTTATAAAAACTGTAACTTGCTAAACTAAACAAAGATTTCCAGGTATAGCAGGATCCATGTAGAGTGTAAGGAGACCAGCCCCTGCTGATTTTGCACACTTTCTGCCAAGTATATAAAAATTACATTAGTTTCAATAATAACCATGTTTCATTATTGCTTGTATTTAGTTGACAGTCAAAAAAATGCCAAGGATGCTTTCTGACCAAGAAAAGCAGATCCCCTGACGTCCAGGAACTGGCCTGACACTATCAGACCAAAATTCTATAGATAGATGCAGCACTCAGATTTTGATTTCTAATATCATTCCCCAATAAAAGGAACTAGAGCTCCTTGAAGAAATGACTAAGTACAAGACTGAGCCAAAAAATATAAAAGATGAATGTAAAGTCAGTGGCCAAGGCTGGAATAATTTGACCAAGAAAAAAATATATCATATTATAACCCAAAATATAAATAAATGTCCATAAATCCATACTAATGGCAAGGGACCAGGGGAGAAGAAATAAATCTCCATGAAATCTAGATAGTTGATGTAAATATTCCCTCTTCAAGGAGATGTAATAAAACTCTCCATTCTCTTACCTGTGGGTTATGTTTAGTGACTTGTTTCCAAAGAGCACAGTTTAGAAATAGGGGAAAATAACTTTACAATAGAAAGTCCTAGCAAATACTATCTTAGCCAAGGTTAAACACTATCAGTAATAAGTCATCTTGATATGTACCCTTGATATGAAGGGCTGAAACAGTTCTTTATCTTGTGATTTCATCCCTAAAGCATATAACTCCAGTCTAACAATTAGAAAAACATCAGGCAAACCAAAATTGAGGGACATTCTACAATATATCTGATTAATAACCCAAATTGGCAGGTCATCAAAAACAAAGTTTAAGAAATTGTTAAAACCCAGAGAAACCAAGAAGACATGACAAGTCAACAAGTCAATATAGTATGGTGTCCTGGATGGACTCGGGTGGGGAGAGATTAGGGGAAAAAACTAGTAAAATCTGAATAAAATAAGAAGTTTAATTAATTATGTATCATCATAGGCTCATTGGTTCTGACAAATGTACCATAATAATGTAAGGTGAAAAAAGAAAAGATTAGCAAAAGTATACAGGCACTCACTGTACTATCCTTGCAACTTTTCTGCAAATGTAAAACTATTCTAAAATTAGAGGTTTATTTAAAGCTGGAAAAAGAAATTCTGCAGGAAGAATAGAGGCACTTTAGTCATATGTACTCAATTATTGCCTAGTACCATGATGAAGAAATACTTTACATGTAATATTAGATGTTTTACTATCTTTTATTTGCTCTATAGCCTTAAGTTCTTTGGAAAATAACCAGTTCTGAGTTAACCTCAATGAATTCTGCATAAATCCAAAGCTGTGGAACTGATTTGAGTTTTCACTATATAGTAAAACAAGGCTGGGCGCAGTAGTGCATGTCTATAATCCCAGCAGCTCAAAAGAGGCTGAGGATCACGAGTTCAAAGCCAGCCTCAGCAACTCAGTGAGACCCCTTCTCTAAATAAAATACAAAATAGGGCTGGGGATGTGTCTCAGTGGTTGAGCGCCCCTGAGTTCAATCCCAGGTACCACCACCACCCTCAAAAAAAAAAAAAAAAAAAAAAACCTACAAGAATTGGTGGGTATTTTTAAGATCTCTTAACTGTTCCAGTCAGATTTTGAATAAGGCAAAATAAAAATAGATAAGGTCTCCACCCAATATCTTTTGGCACCTCCTTTGTAAACAGATTTGGAATCCATAAAACCGCCTTTTTTTTTGTATACTGGGAATTGAACCCATGGGTGCTTAACCACTGAGCCACATCCCTAGCCCTTTTTATTTTTTATTTTGAGACAGAGTCTCACTAAGTTGCTCAAGGACACACTTAAACTACTAAGCCTGGCTTTGAAAATGTGATCCTCCTGCCTCAGCCTCCAGATTGCTGGGATTACAGGCATGCACCACCAGGCCCATCATAAAACTGTTTTTTAATTAGTTACATTATCTTTCTCTACCCCTACCTTCATCCCACCTCAATGACTACTTGGAATATCAAGGATTATGTCTAGATTGCTTACCAATGTTTCCTCAAATTCATTGAGTATATGATGAATGAATGAAGGGTAAACAAAAAGATAAGATTTTATATAAACTGATGGGAAGATTGGTACCAGAAACTGGAAAGAATTTTAACATACCCAATCACTGTCAAAAAGGTTTAAGATGAACTGTTCTAAAAACAGAATGCATATTTTAGCAGCAGTCACTATTTTTAACAGTCCAGTACAGTAGAGTATTATATTAAATTAGGAGAACCAGGAAACCATTTGTAACTAATTTAGCTTGGAAGGCTAACTATTAATTTTATTGATTAAAGGTAGAACTTTTATGATTGATGCAATAAAATTATGTAACTATAAGCAAATGATGACAACTGATTGGACAGTTTTAGGTAAAAATTACAGCCTTGCTTTACGGTACTAAACTTCTGAGTTTTAATCATCTGCCCACAGGTTATAAAAGCAAATTATTTTCTAAGAAAAATCATGATACTGTGCCTCTAGGTACCTCTTTAGCCCACCTGTAGGAAATAAATTTTATGCATTTTCTTGGGTATGTGTCTGGTCATTGTTAAGACAACATTGGCCCTGCTCTCCAACCAGTTGATTTTCTCAGTTTAGGGATCCACCATTCCTTGGTAAAATAAAATATTTTCAATATAGGACTTTATTAGACCTACAATATTATATTATTTGCTACCCAGTTACTATGCAATGCTTTGTTATGAGGAATTACATTTTTAAAAGAATGCCTGAAACCCGTGAAGTCAGCTCATTCATTAACATTGAAGATTGTTAGCCTGGGGTTCACATACCCTGTTGGTTTTTATAAAGTGTGAAATGTGTGTGCACTCATTTGTGTGTGTGTGTGTGTGTGTGTGTGTGTACAAAATTCCTAGTATACTCTAGTGTAACTTCATTGGAATTTCAGAGTGATCCATAATTCAGAAAATGCCCCCTCCTTTATATCAAAGTTTATTCTTGAATCAAGTCCAACTATCAAATAGTTATAAACTTATTCAGTATTATTTTTGCTGTTTTAAAATTTTCATATTTTGTTGGTTTTGGTGTACCTATTCAGCTTGCATAGATGAGATCTGTCATTATAATGATACTTAATAATAGTGCTCTACACCAGGATAGCCTTTATAAAAACCAATAGGACAGATTTCTATTGGTTCTTAGTCCTAGGAAAGACTGGGCTTCTCCTGAATGTGTGGTTTTGTTTTTTGTAAACAAGTGAATCTTGAAACTGTGCATAAGTCCCTCTTCACTTTGAAAAGTAAGTAACTAGGGCCAAATTTGTAGGTACCCCTTTCCAAAGGTAATCAAAGTATTAATCTAAACCATAACTGCATATTATTAACTTCTTATTGCCATTTCCCATCATTCTAAGTTCCTACTTAGAATTATCTCATGATAAAGCTTCATATCCATTTGGAATAAAATGTAAATTATAAATAGTAATATAAAAATCAACTGAGCTAACACCTAGAAAAAATTCTATAAACTGCACTTTACTAAAATTAAATTCCTTACTGCCTTTTTGGTTTTGTTCTTTTTTAAAAGTTCAGACAATAAAAAGGAAAATGTTTTTAGTCCTTAATGCATAGAAAAATATTTTAATATATAAGAGAAGATGAGGAAATGCACATTTTAGAAGCCACATGGTACATTACATCAAAATTAAATATTACACTTTAGGAAAATACTGAAATTAATTTTGGCACAATTTTATAGTCAATATTAAGGTATAAAATACCTTATAAAATTGGTTATAATTTTATTACATTTACTATTAAAACATATATCACATTTGCATTTTAAGTAGCATTTTCTTTAAAACAAAGATACTTTACAAAGATGCTTTCTAAATAAAAAAGAATTGACAAAGTACCTGAAAAGAGGGGAATGATAATATCAAAAAAGCAATTGCACATCAGAAAAAAATATAACCTTCAAAATTAAGGAATTAGAAATTATAATCTTGATAATAACTATAGGAAATATTTGACCTCACAAGTACTGACAGATTTAAGCTTTCATTTTGTGGCATCGTGTTTGAGGTATTTTCTGTGTTTTCCCATTTAAATGTAAAGCTCACATTTTATAAAATCCAATTCTGTAAGATTAGAAAGGATAAATTAGTATTTGTTCTAATATTACTCATGAGATTCTATTCTTTTGTACAACCCTATTGAAAAAAAGTAATTTAAAAAGACTAAAAGTATGTCTGGTGTTTAAAACTTCATCAATTAATTTAATATGAATAATTACAATGTTATAAGCTATTTGTAGGTGAAAAATAAAATAATAGTTTCAATGATCTATCAAACTGTATTATATTCCAACATTATTTAGAATCAAGCATTTACATATCAGAGCTCTTGTGATTTCTAAATAATATAAAAATCAATAAAAATGAACATTAAAGACCCTTATTAGGAAAAAGCTAAACATGTCAAATTTGCTAGTTTGTCTGATAAACTTGAAAAAAATCAGAAGGATGAGATATTTAATTTTTAATAAAGCTAAACTGCTACTCTCTTAAATGCACATTTAAATTACCTCCTGTATTTTCTATGGAAAACTATACTTGGAAGGTGTCACCTGTCTTCTGCCCATTCCATGAGACCTTGAAAGCAAACAGTCTATATACATGTCCCAAAAATCCTGAGCTATATTTAAGAAGACAGTATAATGTCCAGGCCGCTGGGATTTCTGCAAGAACAACATGAAATTCCAGAAAGCATCCACATTGTGCTCTATCTTGAGTTCTTTGAGATCTATCAATGTCAAAGAGCAAGCATTCCAACACTGGAGATCAATGTCTTCTGTGATCCCTGGGCTGACACTGGCAAGCACTCCCTTTTGAAATTCAAAGTCAGCATTAACCAGATTGATCAGCATAATGCAGCCCAGTAGGTAGAACCATCTTCTTGTGGCAGAACCCATATTCTATATAAAAAAAAATATGAGGGGGGATATTTTAACTTAATAAGAAAATTATTCAATTACTCAGTGATCTATTTAAACTTAAAAAATTATAAATAAGTGAGCATATTTTTGATAGAGCCAAATTCTGTGTATTTCTTGGTTTTCCTCTAAGTTGCTGATTTTTAGACCTTTCTTTGAAAGGATTTTGCAATTCAACTTAATTATTAAGATTCTGATAAACAGTCTTTGGGAGCCATTGAAAGCCAACACATTTATGAAGATGTGGTAGGTTCATTTCCTTACTTTTACATCTGGAAGAAACCTTCTCCCTTTGCAGATTAATAAAAATGCTCAGTGATATGGCTTGGCAACTTCTCAGGTCTCTTATCTCCCTATTGAAGGCTCCTACCAGAATACATTTTAAGTCAGTGGATCAAAATGCAGTCCATTCTATGTGTAACCACAGGGAGTTATTTTTAAATCCAATTGTTACAAATCTATTAATCGAAATGATACTGGATCAAACACCATTCTAAGTTTCAAAGGTACTGCTGCTTCCTTTTTTTAATTAAAGATAAATGCCTGGTGAATCTGTGGCTTCTCTTAGGTTGTTCAGTAGCTGGCTGGAGATTAACATACATACATAAAGGAGCATGAAAACCAAGGTAGACATATGCTAGTGTGAGATGATGCAAGGCACTTAGGTTCAGCAAAATCTTGACATTTTCTAATGCTTCTTTGCACAAGTTTTCCTGCCAATCGATCGCTCAGTAACTCGGACTAAGCACATAAGTGGAAAACAAGGACTAAGTTGGCAATGAATTGCTACAGAGCTACTATTTTCCAAGCTGGCTTTAAAAATGCCGTTGACAGCATACAACCTTGACAGCTAGCTCAGAGACTTGGAGGGAGGACAGCAGATCCAGAACCCTAGGACTCGCCTCCTTTCCTTCACTGCCTTCCACCTCCTCCCTCCAAAAAGTTAGGTCAAAGAGAAAACAGACGAAACAAAGTTAAACAGAATATTCAGGTCGTTTTACCTCTCGAAAATTGTGCAGATTCCTCAAACTGAGCTGACAGTGGCCAGTTTATGATTTGAGTTCTAAAAAGAGAGAGGTGGGATCGACGAATTTTCTTCCTCCTGGATTTCAGGTTAGCTTCCCGACCAGCACCCTCCGCCCTGTGTCGCCTCTCTGGGACGCAAAAAAGAGAACCTCTCGTCGGTGTCCAGTCGCGAGCTGCTCCTCACTGGGAAGACGCGGGTCCTCGGACTCTGGAGGAACGAGGTCTCAGGACCCACCCCCGGAGCCAGGCGAAAGGCGGGAGACCTAGCTCGGAGACCTGCCTGGAGTGCTCGCCCGGCGCCCAGTGGCTCTGGGGAACCCTCTCAGCGGCGCGGCGCTTGGGCGCTGGGAGCCTCTGGCTAGCGGAAAGCTGCGCTGTGGGTCCACTCCAGCCGCGTGGAGCTCCGGAGTCCGATCGCAGCCCGAACCGCCCTTCTTTTCTAGGGACCGTGCGAGGGGGCACCAGTGGGTGGCCACGCTCCCGAGGCCCCGCCCTCACCTTGCCACCACCAGACCCTGGACCTGCGGGCTCGCCACGTGCAGCACCCTTCCCTTTCCCGCCGCTCCTGCTACACTTAAAGCCCCAGGGTCTTTCTTCCTGTCTCCTGTTTTCTTTCTCTTTGCTGAGAATATCCATCTTGGCAGTAGTCAGTCAACACTCCCAAGCTATCTTCTCTCTCTGCACCCAGCCACCACCCCTATTCTATCCAAAGAAAAACTCTGCAAAGTGTGGGGACCTGTTAACAGTCTTAATCGTCCAGGAAGAGTTCTCACCTCCAACTAAGCACTAACACTAAAACGCGCACAAACATACCCTCCCTACCACCTAAATATACCTTTAACTCTGGGAAGAGTTTTCTCTAGCCTTCAATAGAAGCAAGGAAGGCGTCCACAAGTCCCTGTTATACTTGTATATTGCCCATGGGTTCCAGTCTTGGCATATCCTTTGGACTGTGTTTAAGTCTACCTTCTGTGCCCAAACCCCAGAAGCAATGATCCAAAACAAGTTGCTTTAGTCCCTCCTCCCCTTAAGTGTGCCCTCTTCCTCACAAGATCTTGAGTTAGGATGGTGAGAATGTGGGGTGAGATGTATGCCAAATCCAAAACCCCTAAGCCCCATTCATTGCTAGGACTAACCACTATCAGAGCTCTATCCTGTTCTCATCATTATAATGAAATTAATGTGACTAATCATTGGTTCTTCCCAACAATACCCTTAGGTGCCCCTTCTACAACCAAGACCAGCTCTTACACAAAACAACCGAGAAAAGAAGATTCATTTATCTCAAATTGGGTAGGATGAATACAAATCCATCTCACACCAGACTTTTTCCTCTACTCTAGGGTTGTAATCATCTCAGTCCACCATCAATTATTGACTCTGAAAATTAGAGAAATTAAAAGTGACCCAATTTAATATCCCATCTGAAACTTCCCATCCTCCCAAGGAATTCCCCCATCCACCAACACTGTTCAATTTAACTCGACCTTGAACACACACACCCTTTAAGCAAGAAACTCTTCCCATCTTTGAATTGACATTCAACAGATCCTTCTAAAATGAATCAGTACTCATTTCTCCTTTGAATAGCCACATAGTTACCATAGAGTCTTTTGTGTAAAATACATTATTTTTTATGAAACATTGTATCTTCATATAAGTATTACAAAGTATAAAAAAATTGAAAAATAAAGAAAAATAGGAAGCCGCAGGAATAGTTGGTGGATTGTGCTGCTATAACAAAATACCTAAGACTGGATAATTTATAAAGAACAAATTCATTTCTAACAGTTCTAGAGGCTGGAAAGTACAAGATCAACATGCTAGGCATAAAGGTAAAAAGAAAATGCTGTGTGAAGTATCCTTTATAAGACATTTGATCTCATTCTCCAGGGAGGAGTCCTTAGTACCGAATCATCTCCCAAATGTACTAGTACTTAATACTATAGTATAAGATTTAGTTTTGAGGGACTGGGGTTGGGGCTTAGTGGTAGAGCATTTGCCCTGTATGTGTGAGGCATTGGATTTGATTCTCGGCACTTCATATAAATAAGTAAAAATAAATAAAGGTCCATCAACAACTAAAATAAATTTTTTTAAGACTTAGTTTCAAGATGAATTTTGGAGGGATACAAACATTCCATAGCATCAATAGATGTTAAAATGCAATTATCAGGGCTTGGGATGTAGCTCAGTGGTAGAGCTCTTGCATAGCAAACACAGTGCCCTAAATTCAACCTCCAGTACCACAAGATAAATAAATACATAAACAAATAAATAAATAAAAACAACTTAAAAAACAAAACCAATTAAGATTATTAATATTTAGCATAACTTCTTATAGTACTTTTTAAATTAATATTATCTCAAATATTTTGTAATTAAAATGCATTTGTAAAGAATATTAGATTATAAAACTCCTGAATAACTGGGTATTATTACAACACACACACACACACAGAGAGAGAGACAGAGAGAGAGAGAGAGAGAGAGAGAGAGAGAGAGAGAGAGAGAGAGAGATGATTTCCTAAATAGAAAACTCATTAAATCAATAATAAAAATAGCCTACTAGAAAAAATAAAGGACATTACTAAGCAGTTCAAAGAAGAGTAATCCCTGATATCCTGTAAACATGAGAATAGATGTTTAATTTCAAGGAGATGGTATATTGTTTTCCTTAATTTAAGCTTAACAAATATTAAAGTTTTTGGAATATGCATTGTTAGTGAGTTTGGGGGCAAATGAACCCATTGTATACTTCTGCAGGAGTATGAGTTTGTATAATCACCATGGAAGAAAACTAGCATCATCTCTCTAATCTCTAAATGATCCAGAAATTCTACTCATGCTGTCTATACTCAAGTCAGTGACAGAAAATATCATTTATGTGATGTTCTAAATGTTCTACTGCGACATTAGGATTAGAACCCCAGCTAGAGGATGGCAAATATCTCTTAACCCATTGTTGGAGAATCAAGACAGTGAAATCTTCATGGAAAGAAGAGGATAGAGAAGGAAGACGAATCAAAAAATCAGGAAAAGGAAGAGGAGAGACAAGAGGAATGTAAGATATACATAGTTACAATAATACTTTGTTAAATTGTTAAATATTTATGATAAAATGGAAATAGAAATGTGGAATTTGGACTTTGTAAATTGTTACTGTATATGGTAAAATTTATTGGCTAATTTCTATATCACAGATATAGAAAACATGATGTTTGAACTCTCAGAGGATTAAAATTGAATAAAAAGCAGATTAAAAAATAAGAACCAATTGAGAAAGCAGCAAGAGGGGAAAAAAGAAGCATACAGAAAAATGACATAGCACAGTTAAGATGGGAGAATCAAGTTGATAATCAAGAAAGTAAATGGTCTGAATGGTAAGTAAAAGAAGGAAAATGTTTATTTTAAATTCTCAAGATACACACAGAAAAATAGGACAGGAAAACTTGGAAAGAATGGAAATAAATATACCATGCAAATGTTATTTGTTTTTAAACTGATATAGCTTTATTAATCAAAATGCATGGCAAAGGAGAGAGAACACTGTATAATAATAAAAGATTCAATGCATAAAGATTGAAATATTCTAAATTTATACATCTGATGATGCAGTTGCAAAGTACATAAAGCAAAAATTGACAGAACTAGAGGGAAATTTTCACAAATTCATAGTGGGAGATTTAAACAAGACTTCAAGTCAAGAAAATAATTAGTAAAGGTATAGATGAAATCAACAACACAATTATATATATAGTTATATATTTATATATAGTATAACTATATATAATCTTTATATATATATAACTATATAATCTTTATTTACAAAATACATTCCTTTCAATAGAAAATAAAGCAAGTCTCATGTAATATAAAGCAAATCTTTATAAAATTCACAAATTGTTATCCTTCTAACTGGGTTGCCTGACCATAAAACAGAATGTTTAAAATTTTAAGAGCTGATTTAAGAAGTATAAAAACAAGAATATGAATTTTCATATAGTTGGAAATTTTAAAAATAAATTATTTAGTCAATAATTGTAAACAATAAATTTAAAAATAAAATATGGAAATTATAAAATATCAAAACTGTGTGATAAAAATACTGCATATCAAAATTGTGATTATTGAATTCTTACAAGTCCTTTGAAGGAAGTAAACACCTTCATACTAGTGGCCAAAAGAAAAGAGGCTATAAATAAGATATGAGGAATATAAGCAACTAAAGTTAACATTTAAAGGAATAACAGAAATAAAGGATCTCAAAAGTTCAATAATTTTATTAAAATACACATTAATGACATATGCAAAAAAAAAAGTCAATTCTCTTGGTAAAATGGATTGACCTTTGGTGAGACTGATAAAGAAAAAAAATTTAAAGGTTCAAATAAGCAATAATTAGGAGTGGAAAGTAGTATCTATTTATAGACACACAAAAAGGTTAAAGATACATGAATACAAAGAACCATAATTTAAAGAACTTAATAAATTCCTGGAAAATAACTGTAAAATTCGAGATCAGGCAAAACAGCACTTACTTGTAACCCCTACCACTTGGAAGACTGAAGCAGAAGGACCATAAGTTTAAGGCTAGCCTGGGCAACTTAGTGAGACAGTGTCAACATATTTTTTTTTTTTAAAGAGAGAGAGAGAAAATTTTAATATTTATTTTTTAGTTTTTCGGCGGACACAACATCTTTGTTTTTATGTGGTGCTGAGGATCAAACTCAGGCCGCAGGCATGCCAGGCGAGTGCGCTACCGCTTGAGCCAAATCCCCAGCCCCAATTATTTTTTAACTTGAGGCTATAGCTTAGTGGTATAGCACTTTCCTGGTATGCAGGAGGCCCTGGGTTCAATTCCTCATACTACAAAATAAAAAATTCATCTATGACAAAATCCAAAAGCTGAAGAGTAAATAAATAAGTAAATAAAGCCCATATGACTTTTCAAGTATCAAATACTTCCCCAAAAGAGGGAAAGTTCCCAGACTCATTCTTGACACCAGAATGAAAAGAGGACAGTATGAAAAGAGCTAAATCACAAGGCCACCTTACTAATTATTTTAGAGATGAAAAAATTCTACATAAAATATTACCAAACAAAATTCAGCAGAATTTATAAAAATGTACATTAGTGTCAAGCTGGGATTATCCTAGCCACGTGAGAATAGACCAACCCTTGAAAAACTATATCAACACATAAAAGAAACCAACCACTTGATAAAATTTAACACCAATTTATTATTTAAAAAACAAAATCTTGTCAAACTAAGAAGAGAAGGATATTTTCTTTTTTAAGTATTTTTTTAATATTTATTTTTTTTTTAGGTGTAGATGGACACAACACAATGCCTTTTTTTTTTTTTTAATGTGTTAAGGATCAAATCCAGGTCCCGCCTGTGCTAGGTGAGCGCTCTACCACTGAGCCACAATCCCAGCCCCTAGAGGGTATTTTCTTAAACTTATAAATGTTATTCACCAAAACCCTACAGCAAACATCTCTATTATTTTAGGTGCTAGGAAGAGTACAATGGTCCAATTAATCTAGAACGCTAATTGACTCTATCTCGTCAGTTTGAATAAATTTCTAACTTGTGATAAGTTGTTTCACTTCCAAGACAATTTCTTAAAGAAACTCTCATACATGGGTACCAAGAGATGTTGGCTAGAATGGAATATTCATAGCTGTAGCACTGTTCATAAAATAAAAAATGTGGAAATAGTCAAAATGACCACGAACAGGAGTACAGATAAATTAACTGTAGTGCATTCAATATAATGGGATGTAATTCAGCAGTGAAAATGAACAGACTACAGCTATATGCATTGTAGATGAAAAAGCAAATCTCAGAAGATTCCATTTTTACAAAGTTCAAAGGCAAGCAAAATTAAAACATATATTCTTCATGAATACTTTCATATTGAAAAGCAATTTTAATAGCAACTAATTAGGACAAAATTCAGGAGAGTGGTTTGGTTTAGGCATACAAGGAACTGAGACCTAGAAAGAATGCATAGAGAAACTCTACAGATAGTGATTTTGCTAGTTTTCATAATCATGGCTTCTAACTTATATATGTTGTCTATTTTTCTGTTATAAGAGGAGATAATAAAACATTGTAGGACAATTGTAGAAATAACATATTTCAAAGATAGGAAAGTCAAACTTGGCTGATCACATTGATGGGAGATGGAAAGAAAAATTTTTTTAAAAAAACTAATGGTTTCATAATACCTACTTTGGGGGATGACATTGAGAAATATGAAAGAGGAAAAGGAAGATGGTTAGTAAGGAAGATGAATTTGATTTCAAGATGTATTTCATTAGAGTTGATTCTAGATCTTCTGAAATATCTAAAATTTAGCTAGACATACAGATAGATTAGGAGACCTCTGCTTTGATACAAAATTATTTGCTGCCATGAGGCACATTTACAGAAGAAAGTTGAGAAGAATATGGGAACTATGCTCAAATTTAAACCTCCATAAACTGCAAACAGAATCAATGAAGGGAAAAGAGAAGGAACAATTAGCTAATACAAAGATCCAGAATGGTATAATATCACAGAACCAGAGAAAAGATATAGTTGAAAAACTACATGACTGTTGTAGTTTAAAACATTTCAGAAAGGGCTAGGAATATTAGATTGGAAAGAGGTTTCATTTGGCAGAAATAGGTACAGTAGCAAATTTCAAAAACACATTT